GGGGGAGGAGGAGCACAGGTAGCCACGCTGGAGGGGGAGGAGGAGCACAGGTAGCCACGATGGAGGGGGAGGAGCAGAGGTAGCTGGTAAACTAGTGTTTTAGACCTGTACCTCCTGTACCTCCCTCACCTCCTGCGCCTCCTGCGGCCGTGGTCCAGACCTCCCAGGTCTGATTAATCAATAACTGATCAATGTCGGTTTTCCTCCTCAGACTCAAACTGTCTCCAAGCCCGTCGTCTCAAGTGACCGTCTCCAGGATCACTGGGTCCTCCTCCTCCCGCTCCTCCAAGAGGAAAAGGCCTCAGGAGGAGGCGGAGCTGCTGGAGATGGCGAGAGGAGAGGAGCTGCTGGTGTCTGAGGAGGCCACGGCCAGCGGAGCAGTGACCATTTCTCCCACCGACATGGACGGAAACGCCGTCACCCTGAACAACGAGAGCCAGAAGGTGGGTGGAGGTGTTCCTGGGTCTCCTCCTGGGTCTCCTCCTGGGTCTCCTCCTGGTTCTCCTGTAGAAGCGGAGCTGTGGCTGACCTCTTCTGTGTGCAGGACCAGCCTTTGGGGAACTGGAGGCTGAAGCGGCAGGTTGATGATGAAGAGGAGCTGGTCTACAAGTTCTCTCCTAAATTTGTTCTGAAGGCGGGGCAGTCTGTGACGGTGAGATCAGAGGAGCTCTATAGATCTACATGATCTAGAATGCCAGCAGTCCTCATGTCGGCCTTCTGGTTCTGCTCAGGTTTGGGCCGCTGATGCCGGCGTCGCTCACAGCCCGCCGTCTGACCTGCTGTGGAAGAGCCAAGCTTCCTGGGGGACAGGAAGTGTGGTGGTGACCTCACTGGTAGACTCTGACGGCGAGGTAAGGATGTCCCCGTGTGACCCGCCACCCGCTCTGCTCCCAGTCACTGACAGGCTGTGGGTCTGCTCCTGCAGGAGGTGGCCAGGAGGAGTGTAACCAAGACTCAGATGGAGATGGAGAACGGTGACGAGCAGGAGGAGGAGAGGCCTCAGAAGGTAACTACAGCCTGTGGGCAGGGTTAGCGTGGCGCCGCCGTCCTCCCCGGTGGGAGGGGCCGGTCCTCCCCGGTGGGAGGCGCCGGTCCTCCCCGATGGGAGGCGCCGGTCCCGGTGGACCCGTCTCCTCATACCTCCAATTTTACATTTTTTTCAAAATTTGAAAATGTGAATTCTGTTAAATTTAAGCAGATCTAGAACTGTGACATCATCACTTTTTAAAAAGAGGAATGCTGAGCGCAGCGTGGAAACATCCTCCTGACCAATCAGTCAACAGGTCTCCCTGACCCTGAAAAGGGTTACCATAGCAACCCCAGCCAGCAGCCTTCATGCAGCCGGTCCTGCTTTACCAGAACTGCTCCTCTGACCCGGTTCTGTGCTGCTGGTTCTAGATGGTGGTGTTCTGATGTCTCTCTCTCTCCTCCGCAGGGCAAAGTGTCGTCCAGGGAGTGCAGCATCATGTGAAGCTCCGCCCCCTCCTCCTCTGAAAACCTCCCAGCTTCTTTCTTTTCTTTTAACCTTTAATATTGAGAGACTGTCATCTGGACCTCCAGAACCAACAAACGGGTCGCCAGCAGTGGATCCACAGAACCACTGGGTCTGCTCCTCCAGTGGCACCACGCCGCTGTAGAACCGGACCACGCCGGGCCCGGTTCTACAGCGGCGTGGTGCCGCTGTAGAACCAGGCCACACTGGGCCCGGTTCTACAGCGGCACCACGCCGCTGTAGAACCGGGCCTACCCAGCCTGCTCTAACACTAGTCCATCCGGTGACGCGGCGGCCTGCTGAGAGGGCGGGGTTAAACGGAGGCCTGTGATTGGTCAGCCTGGCAGCAGCGCCTCCTTCCCTCCTCCTTCCCTCAGTTTTTATTCAGCGCCTCTTTTTATTGGCCGTTTGAGGCCGTTAAACACTAGGAGGGACGGAACCGATGGAGCTCAGAACACGCCGACGGCGCCTTCTGAGCTCCATCCTTCCTCCATCTTTGATTTCAGGGCCTTTTTATTTCCCTCTATAAAAGACCTCCTCACCACCATGACCTCCTCCATCCATGACCACCTCCTCTATCATGACCACCTCCCCACCATGACCTCCTCCCACCATGACCTCCTCCCACCATCAAGACCTCCTGCAGATGGAGCGGTCTAGGACCGGGTTCTGATCCTGGATGGATTCCTCTCCATCCCGCCATCGTTAGTTTCCTGGTTTCAGGCCTTTGGGTCTCTGGGTGGTTGTCATGGCGATGGTGTCCCAGAGCTCATCCAGGAATCCACCAATCAGGAGGCAGACTGAGGTCCCTGAGCATCTGGACCTGGAAGGACCTGCAGATGTCCCCTCCAGCAGGAGCCCCTCCCCTCCAGCAGGAGCATCTCCCCTCCAGCAGGAGCCCCTCCCCTCCAGCAGGAGCCCCTCCCCTCCAGCAGGAGCCCCTCCCCTCCAGCAGGAGCCCCTCCCCTCCAGCAGGAGCATCTTCTCCATCTCCAGTT